TTTAATTTAGGTGCATTTTTTGGATTGAGTTGCATTCTCAAATTGTTCTTCCTCCTCTTAATTGAGGCTGACTCCTTTACTTTTAGAGTCTTAGTCATTTTTTACTATACCTTCAAGGAACTAAGTTTAGAACGGGCTCTGATACCATGTTAAAGGAACATGACTCTCCATCATAGTATGATATTGTCCACTTTGAGCATAACCTCTCATGACTTTACTTTAGGCTTTTCAAAATGTCTCATACCAATGAAGATTGTATTCCTTGATTATAAATTCATGATCATTAAGCAATATGAGACTTTTCTCGGACTTTTCTTTTCATCCAACAATATGAACACCTCTATTCTTAATTTAAAAAATATATATATAAAAAAAAAAAGAACTATTGCTTTCAAAATTGAAATGAAGAATGTTTTATATTAAACAAAAATAAATAAATAAAAGTCATCACATAAAAAAAAAACGACCAAATATATAAAATATATATAGAAAAAAAAGAATATTATTTTAAATTTTTTTAAAGAAATGTTTGTTGAGGAGTTGGAATACTGAAACTTTTAAAAATATTAAGGGTATTTTTATAAATTTAAAACTTAATAAATGTATTTATTGATCTTTTAAACAAAAATTGTATTTTATAGTTTTAAGTTTCATTATATTTTATCTATATATTCAATGTACTTACGATGTTTTTTGTATTTATCCCACACGTTTTAGTACTTTTGAATAAAAAATAAATAAACATAGTAAATGCTTTTATTATAATTCTTTTTAAAAGTGAAGCAATTTATTTATTTAAAAAGAAAAAGAACGACACGTCATAAATTTAACATAACACTACAGATTTCATTATCTTACCATAAATATAACTTTTTTTTTCCTTTACGAGAAAAATTCAACCAATTAATGACGTAAAGCCACGTGGACTCCACCAGATCCGTCTTTTACGCTCAAAACACACTCCGAACACGAGCCTCATATCTACCTGGCAAACACTCTATTGGAATATAACCACAACGTTTCCTCAATGATTACGGTCGTACGGTGATCCTATGCAGATTGGTGGACAGCGTCAAAACGACGTTCGGGATTTACGTCAGCTCAAGTTGAGACAGCGTGTACCCGATGATGACAGGTGGAATGGAATCGTGTGTGGAGCCGAGTTGGCAGATGATGTGGCGAGAGAGCGCGTGGGGACACGCGACTTTTGTGTGTTATTCCCGCCTTAATAATCTCTATTTATAGATAATTGTTTGAACATAATCGCTTAGTAAAAATCCATAAATATCAATTAAAATAAAAATCTAAAAAGGAAAAAAAACTCAAAAGTAACTATAAATATTGAAAATATTGCTGACCATTCTCAATCAGCCCTTTGACTTCCTTTTCTTCTTCTTCTTCTTCCTTCAATTCCCTTTCTCTCTCTTTCTCCTCTGCTTCTCTCTGTTTTCCCCATTAACGCCTTGTCAATCTCCTCGGAAACCCCGCCCCACCCAGATTCCTCCCCCGCCGCTGATATGTCCAATGGCGGCGGCGAATTGCCTTCTGAGGAACGGTGCTCGGTGGAGGAGGTGGCTCTGGTGGTGCCGGAAACTGACGACCCGACTCTTCCTGTGATGACTTTTCGATCATGGGTTCTTGGTCTCGTTTCTTGTTGCCTTCTCATTTTCCTCAACACTTTCTTCACTTACCGTTCTCAGCCACTCGCCATCTCCGCCATTCTTATGCAGATCGCTGTTCTCCCAATTGGCCGCTTCATGGCCTCCACTCTCCCAAACAGGGACTTCCATTTCTTTCGATGGAAGTTTAGTCTCAATCCTGGCCCTTTCAACATGAAGGAGCATGTTATTATCACCATTTTTGCTAACTGTGGCATCTCCTATGGCGGCGGCGACGCATATTCCATCGGCGCCATTACTGTCATGAAAGCTTATTATAAACAGGGCTTGAATTTCTTCTTAGCCCTTCTCATCGTCTTAACTACCCAGGTTTGCATCTTTATGAATGAAAAGGGGCTAATTCAAAAGTTTTGTCTTTTGAATATCGATTTGAGTAAAAAATAATGAACACCCATTTTCTAAAACATCCAGATTGATAAGATCTAGACCCTTTTCTCACATTCCCCTGTTTCGAATCTTTTTCTCTTTGGCTGTTCTTCAGATTTTGGGATATGGATGGGCTGGAATGCTGAGAAGGTACCTGGTAGATCCTGTTGAAATGTGGTGGCCTGCAAATCTGGCACAGGTTTCTCTGTTTAGGTACCCTTTCTTAATTCCTTTTCCAGATTTGGAGCTCAGAGGCTTAGCAGTATTTAACTCTGACATGCTCTGTTTTCTTTGCCCTGTTTTAGAGCCCTTCATGAGACGGAGGACAGATCAAAAGGGATGACAAGGATGAAATTCTTCTTGATCTTCATGGGAGCAAGCTTCGTGTACTACGTTTTTCCAGGTTACTTGCTACAAATCTTATCATTCTTCTCGTGGGTTTGTTGGGTTTGGCCTCGCAGCATCACGGCTCAGCAAATTGGGTCGAGCCAAAGTGGACTTGGGCTCGGCGCTTTCAGCTTTGATTGGGCTGGGATTTCGGCCTACCATGGAAGCCCACTGGTGTCGCCATGGTCCTCAATTCTAAACGTGGGTGTTGGGTTTGTTATGTTCATTTATATCGTCCTCCCTGTTTGCTACTGGAAGTTCAACACCTTCGACGCCCACAAATTCCCCATTTTCTCTAATAAGCTCTTCACCAGAACAGGCCAGAAATATGATACTACCAAGGTTTTAACTCCCGAATTTGAACTTAATGTTGGTGCTTATAATAACTACGGGAAGCTCTATCTTAGCCCCTTGTTTGCCCTCTCCATTGGATCTGGCTTTGCCAGGTTTACTGCTACTCTTACACATGTCGCATTGTTTCATGGCCGGTATGCTTTTCTCTCTCACTTTTTCTTCTTCTCTTTCCTTCCGCTCTACATTTTATTTCCTCCTCCCATACCTTCTTGTTTCTTGTTTTAGGTCAAGTATTTCTAATTCTTTCAAAAGTTCCCATGTAACTCCGTGTCAAATCAGCCCATATTTGTTCACACATCAAGTCGTGTTTAATCACAATTAAGTTTAGAGACTAGAGATCGAATACATATATCACTATAGTTATAAACCAAGTTTAAGATTGTGCACTTTTAATGTTCTAGGGACATATGGAAGCAGAGCAGGACAGCAATCAAGAATGCAAAAGTGGACATCCATGCCAAACTGATGCAAAGCTACAAACAAGTGCCAGAATGGTGGTTCTTGATCCTATTATTTGGTAGCACTGTGATATCTCTTCTGATGTCGATTGTGTGGAAGGACATCGTGCAGCTGCCGTGGTGGGGCATGCTATTTTCCTTCGCTATGGCTTGGATTGTCACCCTCCCAATCGGGGTCATTCAAGCGACAACCAACCAGGTAATCGAACGGGAATTAGTAGTAGTAGCACTCGCTCGTCTTTGTTTACGTTCTAAAGCAAAAGACTTATATCTATATGGAATGTTATGCAGCAACCTGGATATGATATCATAGCACAGTTAATCATTGGTTATATTCTCCCTGGAAAACCAATAGCAAATCTACTTTTCAAGATCTACGGAAGAATCAGCACAGTTCATGCTCTTTCTTTCTTATCTGACCTTAAACTTGGCCATTACATGAAAATCCCACCAAGATGCATGTACACTGCCCAGGTGATCTTTTAAAAACTTCAATGTTTCTTTTGAGAGTATATGATCTTGACTGATTCGTGTTTTTTCAGTTAGTCGGGACACTCGTTGCCGGGACGATTAACCTCGTCGTTGCTTGGTGGATGTTAGACAATATAGAGAACATCTGTGATACTGAGGCTCTCCAACCTGATAGTCCATGGACGTGTCCGAAATACCGAGTGACGTTTGATGCATCTGTTATCTGGGGACTAATAGGACCGAGGCGATTGTTTGGACCGGGCGGGTTGTATCGAAACTTGGTGTGGCTATTCTTGATTGGAGTTGTTCTTCCAGTTCCTATTTGGGCATTGAGTAAAGCTTTCCCTAAAAAGAAATGGATTGCATTGATAAACATACCAGTTATATCCTATGGCTTTGCAGGGATGCCACCAGCAACTCCTACAAACATAGCTAGCTGGCTCATCACTGGTACCATTTTCAACTACTTCATCTTCCGATACCATAAGCGATGGTGGCAGAAGTACAACTATGTCCTCTCGGCCGCGCTCGACGCAGGGACTGCGTTAATGGGCGTGCTGCTTTTCATTGTGCTGCAGAATGGAGGCCATAGCTTGAGGTGGTGGGGATCACAACCCGATCACTGTCCTTTGGCTAAGTGTCCAACCGCTCCCGGGATCGTCGTTAAAGGATGTCCAGTGTTTTAGCTAGATCGTCGAGGCCCGGGACGATGAAACTAATAGCCATTATGTTACAGAGAGTTAGTTTGAAGTGATTTGGGTAGGGTTTATATATGGCATCATGTTAACTACAAGTTGTGCTATAATATCTTTTAGTGTATGGCAATGGAGAGAGCAAAGCATAAAATAAAACTCTAGTAAAGTTCGCTTCAAGAGATTCAAGTACCGACCGTCGCTTGTTAACGTGAAATTTTGAAATTTAATTTTTTTAAAACATACGCGCATTGAATAACTATCAATTCAAACAGGCCATTTAGTTTAAATTAGACAAGTACACCAGAACACTCAAAATAAAAATACTCACTAAGTAGCTCAACTTAGAGTCATGATGTGATGTCATAATTTGTCCTTCTTAGCCCTATATGAGCCATCATTTCTAATGGTTCGTTCTCGCTATTCTAAGATAATTATCTTGGTTAGATGGTTCTATGGTTCTAAGTTATCTTTGTTAGATATTTTGCTAGTCCCTTTTATCATTATTATCATAATAGACCAATATCTAATAGCTCTTTGAGGCACGTAGGGCAATGTTGTTGAACAATTTCATAATGAGCACTGTTTTACCCACTCTAGCCCCTCCGAATAGTCCTATTTTTCCTCCACGTCGATAAGGGGCTAAAAGATCTACTACTTTAATTCCTGTTTCAAAAATAGATAATTTTGTATCTAACTGTATAAAAGCAGGGGCGGATCTATGAATAGGAGATGTTGTGCGAGTATCTACAGGACCTGTATGTTGTATATATTATTTTATTTTTTACTTATTTCAAAATTTTGGACACTAAAGTTTTGTGTTTGAGAGTTCCTAGTCTTGTAATAACTCTAGGTGTCCGGTTCTCTTCTCGCTCTTAGGTTGCTTCTTTACCTACTCACTTTGACCAAACTAATTTTTTTATTCTATCAAATCTTCACACACCTTGTGATAAGACAATCCTAAAAGGAGAGCCTACATGATATCGTGGCAAACACAATAATTGGACAAGACTATTTCATTACTATCTTAACCTTAGTTAGGTACATTACTATTCCTTCTTTCGACACCATGGGGCTCAAGGAAAGTACTTTTTGGAGCCAGAACTCGCATGTAACGGCCCAAACCTACCGCTAGCAGATATTGTCCTTTATACTTTTTCTTTCGAGCTTTCCCTCAAGGTTTTTAAAACGTATCTGCTCAGGGGAATTTTTCACACCCTTATAAAGAATGTTTCGTTCTCCTCCTCAATCGATGAGGGATCTCACATCGCATTTTGAAAACTTTCATACTATTAAGTAAAACATGATACCATATGGCAGCCACGGTAGAATTTTCTTAATTTTATTGTACACCCTTGAGCCAAGCAAACTTTTCTCACCCTGAATCCTAATCGAGACATAGGTGTGCCCCACAGACACTTTTGTTCGTGGCTCATTTCACCTAAGGCTCAATTCGGAATCTTGTTTGTCTCATTTCCTACCATTCTTGTAGCTATAATTCTAAGTACACAAACTTTTCTTTTCTTTTTTAATTTGTTAGGGATATTTAGTAATAAATTATAGTTTACCATATATATTATATTTGATATTTTATATTTAGTAATAAATTATAGTTTACCATATATATTATATTTGATATTTTATTATAAGGCAAATATCTAATATTTGTCTTATTATCAGAGATATCTTCCATTTATTGTTATTTCTATTTATTACTATTTCCATATTCTTGTAATTTATTTGATTATAAATAAGATAACTTTCACACCATTTAAGTCGGATGAATTAATCAAACATTCACACTTATAAAGGTATTGTTATGGTGAAGTAATTTAGTTAGGATTTGATGTAGGGCAGCATATGGACGACCCATTTTCCTAAAAATGTGGGCCGCACTCAGACCCTTTGTGGTGGATCCACCGATTCCGACTTCGTTTTTGCTTATGCTCCGGCCCTACCGCTCACCAACTTTACTCCACTCCGGTCTCCCCCCAAATCTCATTTAAATTAATTATTTTAATTAATTCTAAGGGAACCAAAACTACAATTTCTGAATTTATGTGGCTCTAAGTGTAATTTCGAAGAAATGGAGGACCGAAAAGCAAAAAACCCGTTCCAACCCTGTGCCATTCTTTACCAGCGGCGGTCCGGTTTCCGCGTCCATTGACCCCTCCTATAAATACCCCTCAAACCCACTCCCCGAAGCAATTGCCCTAAAAATTTACCCCATTCCTTCCTTCCTTCCTTCCTTCGCTTACCCCTCGATTACCATGAAATCGCGCTCCGCTTCTCTCTTCCTCATCCTTCTCCTCCCACTTCTGGTCGTCGCCACCGCTCGGATGGGGCGTCTAGTCGGCGGCTGGGAGAAGATCAAGGACGTGAAGGATCCGCATATTCAAGAGATCGGAAAGTTCGCGGTGTCTGAGTACAACAAACAATCGAAAGGCGCACTCGAATTCAAGGACGTCGTCAAAGGAGAATCGCAGGTCGTCTCCGGAATGAACTACCGCCTGGTTATCGAGGCCAAGAAAGGTGAATCGATCGGAAAATATCAGGCGTTGGTCTGGGAGAAGGCATGGCAGCATTTCATGGAACTTACGTCCTTCAAGCCCGTTGCTAATTAACCAGTAAAGCCCTAATTTATGATGCGTTTCTTGGAATTTGGTGATTTTCGTATAAATTTCTGGGGAAGTCGTTGGTGGATTTTGTTGTGTTATCAGATCTCTGTGTTCTTCAATAATCTGATCTGTGTTAGTTTGGAAATTTTATATTATTACGAAGATATGTTATAAATGTCTCAAATGCTATTGGATTTCCTATCTGTATAAATGGGAATAAATAAAATTATGTATACTTTTGTGTATGGAAATACTTTAGTTTTGAGCAACTTTGAATTAAATACTATTCCGCTTGCAACTTGATTAGAAAAGACAAGAATAATTAATGGTATGAATTATTATACTGACATAGAATCATCCATACCCATAACTGATTCTTTTCTTACTTCTTTTTTTTGATAAACGTACCCATAACTGTTAATTGATGTAGATATTTTCCACTTTCCACAACCAATCTGAAGATTGTGATAGATGTTTACGGATTAGATGGAAACTTTGAATCTTTTTGATCGAGCGAACTCAAATCTAATCCTGGTTTTAAGATTATGAATATTTATTTCAATTTATGACAACATTTTTTTTAATTTTTTATATTTTGTTGTCCTGTAATATTGCCCTAATTTCCCTCTGTCTACTAATTATTAAAAAAAAAAATTCTTTATTTTTAAAATCAAAATTGAGAGAGAAGAATTATCTCACTTTTTAACATTATTGATTAAAAACATATTACAACTTCAATGTTAGATTATTTAATATCTTTCATTTTTTCTTCCTTTTGAACATTTTAAAAAACTTTTAAGATCCATTACTAATAAAATTATTGAAGATCCATTTTATAATTTAAGCTTATTTAGAAAAAAGTGTTTATATAATAAAGTTATGAATTCACTTCTAGGACATCGGTGCGGTGTACATTTAACCCGACAACTTAAAAATTCGGACCAACCCAACCTGAACTTCTGAACCCGAACTGCGTTCATATTTTAAATTATAATGTATTTATTATCTATTTGCTGCAACATGTATAAATAGGTATATTTCAATTAAAATATTTTTATTTATTTTTTGTTATATACATTTTTATTGTTTATTTAATTTTATGATTTATTTTACATTTTTTTTCCGTATTCTAACCAATTCTCAAGAAATGTCGGTCTCTAATAGTTTTAGTTTTATGACAATGTTGAACTATTTTACTATATTATAATTTTCATGTCGGTCTCTAATTGTTTTAGTTTTATGACAATGTTGTATTATGTTACTATTCACTTTTTGATTGAATTTTTTTTTTTTTTTTTATTATTATTTGTTGTGAATAATTATAGATGGTGGAGTTGAGTTACCAATCCAACCAACCTGAACTTTTGGATAGGTCAAAAAAATCTACAACCCAACTCGAACCATATACACCCTTAACCCTTGGTATGGTAAACAATCTAAAAAGAATAACGAGGGAATTAGAATCTCAAGAATAATTTCATGGTTGACTTTACACGGTTGTAAGGGGACAAAATTTCATTGAACATCATCAACTACAAACTACACGGGACTCGAACAAAGAATAAGGGAGAAGTTCAATCAATCTAATTAATTATCTAAAGGATAATTTTTTAAAATATATGTTTAAAAATAATAAAATACTCAAAAACTCGAGCAATTAGATTGAATCTAAAATATGTTGCGACCTGATTTAATCCAACTCATGAACATCTCTAATGGTTTTCACCCAATGTGCTTCAAGTAACCTATATATAATTTAATTGATTTAAATACTCGATTAACAAAAAAAATCATTTAAAAAATGGAGGGAGTGAACGTTTGGTTTGCATAATGCAAGCATTGTATCTTCATATGTAAGAGTCAAATCTCACCGTTAGGAGGTATTGTTCTCTTTTCACTTTCGAGCTTTCACTCAAGATTTTAAAACGCGTTTGCTAGAGAGATGTTTCCACACTTTTATAAGGAATGTTTCGCTTTCATCTCTAATCGATGTGAGATCTCACAATCCACCCACCTTGGAGGCCCAGTGTTCTCGTTGGCGCATCGCTCGGTGTCTAACTCTAATAACATTTGTAACAGATCAAGCTCACCACTAGCACATATTGTCTCTTTGGCCTTTCCCTTCCCGACTTTCCCTCAAGATTTTAAAATGCTTCTATTAGGGAAAGATTTTTGTCCCTTAAGATTTTAAAATGCTTCCATTAAGAAAAGATTTTCACGTTTTTGTAAAAAATGTTTTATTCTCTCTACAACCGAAGCCCATGCATGATAGAGAACAAGTCTTTTGACTGTAGTTAATGAGGAATAAAGTGGATGACTCTTTTGACCAAATTCAAGGTTCCTATTTATAGAGCCTTAATTATGACTTTTGTCATATTTAAAATAATATATTTTAATATTTAATATATTAAAAAAATATTTTTTATTTAAACCGTTTTTAAATATAGTAGATATTTAATAAATTTCAATTTTATTCAAATTTCAAATATATATATTTATTAAATACGTTTCTCTAATATATTAATTTGAACACTTCACTAAATATATTTGGAGCGTATGAAGGTGCGTCTTAGCTCATAGGGTGAGTATTTCTTGTCTATTCAACCTCCATTTACTCACACATAAGGATTGGTTTGCATGGACAAAAAGGAAAAATGCAGCTAATTCTTCCTTTTCAGGTACAAAGGGACACGATGACCACAACAAGGAAAATAGAGGTTGTGGGTATGGTCATAGTAATGACCACAAACGTGGTGTCAGAGGAAGTCGTGACAATATCTTAAAAATTCATGACGATGCCAACTCTTGGAAAGACAAGAGCATAATCAAGTGTTACAAAAATACTGGCATTACATGATAGAGTGACACAACGAGGAGTGCGATGAGGTGGCAAGCCTCACATTTACTGATGATGAAGAGTCCATAAATGATGGTGAGAATACCACTTCCTTTAATAAGGACCCATCCCTTCCTTGACATTCTCTATCCCACCCTCTAGACGACATGATTCTAAGACTAACATGTAACCCTTCTTAAGTCTACTACTTCTATACTAGTCATCCCATATACTAATCAGGTAACACATCAATAGGCATATGAACAAGTCAGGTATCATACTCAATGATACAATTAGGGCCATAAAGTTTCACGTTAAGTTGCATTTAATCATATCAAGAAATCATAGCACATAAACAGTCAATAGTCAATAACGTCCCTTTTTCTTATCTTATACAGGACATACCTGACGATGATAGGGTATCAACGGTGGGACCATGAAACATGTCAAGCCTACCTCGTAGGCTAGTCTATAAAATTTGTAACCTAGAGTTTTGATCCCAACTGTAACGACCCTAAATTTCTACTTACCTAGAGTCGTTATAATCATCATAACGTAATCATTTCTATGCAAAAATAAGCATTCAAGCTTCTTCATAAAACATAAACTTTATCTTAAAACATAGTCATGGACTTACGTGTTCGAAAACATCTAAAACAGCACAACAATAAACTAAATGAAATAAATAAACATTTAAATTAAAAACATCTTATTCTAATCTAAGTCTAAAAAAACAAATGTGACTACCTTATACATGTATCATGGTCTCAAATTGTGATGTTGTCGTCAGCGGTACAAAAATGTCTTGTCTTTACTTGAAATAGAAGTAGCCCCACTATTGGAGTTAAAACACAAAAACATACAATTTCATGATTGAGACCTATCATAGCCATCTATATTCCTTAAGCAGCTATCCTAAACGGGCTAATTGGATGTGTATTTACTGTTCTACACACAATCCACAAGTGCGAGTATGGACCCACTAGTTGGTTCGCACACCTCCTGAGCCCCTTCTTGTCGGGCGAGCATTCTCCAGTAGCTGTTGATGTCGGACACCCGTTTAGGAATAGCGACCATGGCAGCATTAGGATAAACATAATAATCGTTCTCCTGCTTGACCGTCGCAACATTATGATAACCATAATGATGGTTCCCTATCTTATAAAGTATGCGTCTATCGTGCAAAACCCTAATTCCTTCTCTCTCTCATTTCCCCTTATTCCTTTTATTTTCCCCTTCCTTAATATTAGATTTAATAATTTATAGACCATTCATTAGAAAAAGTATCAAAATGACCGTTTTGCTCTTTAAGGTTGACTTTGACTTTTTTATATGTTATAAAATGGTCCTGCTTGCCGAAGAAAGAGAAGAATAAGCTAGGAAGGGGGAACTAATCAAGATCAATAGGAAGTCCTGGAATTTCTTGACAAAGTGAAAGTTCATGCCACGACGATCCATATGGAAGGGCAGTTTTGTTGATCCATATGTAATGCTAAGAGTGGGAATTTGTCCTTCTGGTAAAAAGGTCCATTTTTGCCTATTTTCCCTGATTGAACAGCCTTACACAGAGGAAGTCGGAGTCAAGATGGGATAGCTTTGGCGATCATCACAAAGTTGTCCAACCGCAGCTTCGCGACTTAGCTTTGGTTTTTTCTCCTTCACTACTTCAGGCACTCACCTTCTTTCAATAAAGACATTCATTATCTCGAAGCCCTATTCAAGCTCATTCTAGCGAACGATCCTTTTTCAGATTTGACTTTGAGAAGATAGCTTTCTTTCCTTAGAACCTGCTTAGCCAGCCGGAGAGCTAGTTGAAGCTCATCTCCCTTCGAATGAACAAAGTCAACCAATTGATTCGTCGTCATGGTAGAGAAGAAAAACGGGTCTTCATGCATTCAGAGGGAAATTATGTCAATCGGAAGAAGCCCGAAGAATCAAAGAAAGAATGACAAAAAAAGAAAATGAGGTAAATCCATTTGAGGAAAATCCTAGATATGCCGTTAGATCAAAGTCTTCAAGGCATTACATTACAGGCGGGAAGGGGTAAATTTGAAGAACCTTTCTTTCCAGGAGAGGAGAGAGAGTAAATTCATTAACAATCCGGAACAGGAGAGCTTTCAATTCATTCAATGCCTTGATTAACAGGGGGAATAGTAAGAGGCTGTTGCTCGACTATCTTTTTGCGCTCTGTCGAATTCCTATTTTCCTTCATCCTATTAGAATCCAAGAGAGAAATTGGAGATTGGAACTGGAAGTTCCAGAACAGGCGGCTGGTATACCACCATAATGAAACTGCCTTTTCTTTTTTTGATTCGGATAGGATTTCTGTTGGCTTCGTTGGGAGGCTCGCGTAGTTTGAAGCCAAATCAAATAGAAAAAAAGATTATTCTCAAAATGAGCTTATACCTTTCTTTACCGTTTGCCATTTAAGGGGGAGGGAGTCTTGGAGCTCTGAGTCGACGAGAAGAAACTATTCCCTCTCTGTCCCACCCTTTCTCTTGCCAATGGAAATGGAATTGGAGTGGACAGAGTTGCAAATTCTGCAACGGGAAAGGTCGAGAGGATCGACGAACCTGAGAGAGGGATCCAGAATCTGAGGAAGCGACTGGAAGGGAAGCGGAGTCCACTCATCGAAAGGTTTGATTTCTCTCTCGTAGGTATGATGGTTTTGACACCCTTATTCCCGCTAGTCTTGAGTGTGGGGACGGGGCAGGGGCTGTGTTTTCTGAAGTGAAGGAAGTGGACTTTTCTTTGATTTGCAGATCGAACAAAATAGACGAAAAAGAAAGATCAAGCCCCGTGTGACATTCATTTCTTTTGTGATCAGACAACCAACAATGACAGAACGGCCAATTAAAGGGAGAGCACTAAGTTACTTACGTGACGGCCTTTACTCAAAGAAATAGTTAGGGCTTGATTTGCTTGTTCGTCAAGCTTTCGAGTCTTGAAACTGCCGCCTAATCTCCCAACATGCTCAAAAACCCACATCTAGAAAGAAGCCCGCTTACTCCGGAATTGAGACAAAAATGGATGGAAGGAATTGTGATGCTGGGATCGTGGGTGGAGACGGGCGAGTAGGTAAATTAACGCCATCTTAGTAATTCTTTCATACGGGAAAGCAAGGCCCTTCCTAAAGCGGGGACGTAGTTTCTTGTTCAAATCCAAAGTCTTCAGTCTCCTCCCGGGCTAAGGCTGTAGTTCCAAATCCGGAATCTTAAACAATTCAGCTTAATATAGCATAGCAGATAATCTGATTCAGCTTCAAAGAAGAAAGAAAGGGGCGGGGCATCTTTCGCTTTCCTTTTGGGTGAAAAGGTATAATAGGAAGTAATTAATTACCCGAGTTTAGTAATGAAATCAATCTCTGGGCTGATCTTCCTACTCATTTTTAGGAAAGTACGGTAAATTCGTTTAGTCTTTAAGACTTCCTAACCATTCCTCTGACTTTCCAAGAAGGAAAGACAGGACTGAAGGGACAATTACTGACAAGATTCCATATAAGATAACCATCTGCCCTTCTTGCATACCCAAGCGCTCCTCCCAATGAGCCATTTTTTACAAGAAAAAGGGTTAAGTGACTTTCCTACTGACTGAATCACTTGAATCAGTTGAAGGAGGTTTCTACAGGAAGAGTTGCGACTCCACGTCGGGGCGGGCGGGGGTTCATTACGAGTGGGCATGAACTGTAACCAAACAAAGAAAAGTCAACCAACCACGAATTCCTGAACCGGGAACCACCCTGTAAAGTCAAGAGCCTCGCCTAAAGGACCAGACCCGGAGCTGAGAACAAGATCGAAAGCGCAACTTCTCATTCGAAGCATGAAAGTGGTCAGTGTAGAGGTTCCACTAATAGAGAGTAGTATTAAATTGTGAGACGAGAAGAGGTTAATGAGTAAGTCAAGTAGTAGGTTAAGGAGAATAGCGAAAAGCAGACAGACGAGAAGATCAGAGGAGTTACAGCGGGTTCAGGGTAAGGAGCTAGGCCTTCCTTCTTCTCGAATGGAACTTTGTTTTTCAGAATCGCCTGTGGTAACAATGAATTAGAGTTTTTCTCGTTTCTAAAGACTCAAATTCTGCAACGGGAAAGGTCGAGAGGATCGACGAACCTGAGAGAGGGATCCAGAATCTGAGGAAGCGACTGGAAGGGAAGCAACTGGTCACGATTTTTTCCACCCTTTACAGATGCCTTATGTTGAATGCGCCTAAAAGCCCCAGCGGGGGTGTAAGACCAATCATCCTTATCCTATAGTTCCAACATCAACGCTAGAAGCATGGTGTAAACTGGGGAGATGGTAGGCTGTACCATTTGAAAGCGAGTTGCACATGAGCTTTTTCTATGAGTGATCGGTCTTTTGCAAAAAGGGTGAAAGGGAAAGATAGACAAAATTCATTCATGGTCTTTACAGTAAAAAGAGTGAAAGAGAAAGTAGATGAACGATTAAAGAGAGTTTACAGTCTTTGAATCAATGAAGGATCCTTCGCTCAAGAACTAGACTCAAGCGATTGTGCCTACCAGTCAAGACAGGAAGGTGGGACGCTATCCCGCCTCTTGACCGAAGGGCCAACCCACCTCACACTCCCCCCTTCTCTAATGCAGAACTCAGAGAATAGCGCCCCTGACTCTATACTTCGCCTTCTCTGCCTAAGCCCAGATCTGGGAACTGACTATTTCTCTTTCGTCATCAGTTGCAGTCTAATTAGATGCTTTCTCTCGTAACCTCCGCCTGATCTTCTTTCACGGGATAGAAAAGAGATGAATGATCGGGAACCTGGCCCTATTGATTCAAACACTGTAACCGAAGAGAAAGGGAGCAGCTCAAACAAAGAAGAGTCAGGTCTGAATTCAGGCCCGGCCTGCCCGTCTGCTGCTAGGTCCGGGAATGGCGCCAGGCGAGGGCGCCGCCCCTCTGCTGCGACCAGAATTTGATTCCTACGGCAACCCCATTTCGACCAAGTTGTTGCGAAACCGGCAAAAATCAGCGGTTTTACGCACAGCTTGCTCATAGTGCAGGTACTGAACCTATTGATTCTTTCCCGAGGTAAACTGATCATTAAGTCAAGTCAAACAAACTCCTTTCACACTGTCCACCAATTAAAGGAAAAGGTGATGTCGTCTTCAAAGAAGGGAACTTCGTATTTCGGATGAGGGAGCTTCTTGAGTGAGACTATTAGAATTGTCGGAAGAGGTTGACTTTGTGGAACTCTTTCTTTAGCGGGCTCTATTGCTCCAAATTTCGAAGCGAGTGTTCAAACTTAAC